TACAATAACAATTGTTTAACTGTCATTGAAAGTTACTAACTTTTAACATTCCCTCTAACAACAACGGTTCTCTAATCGCTATTGATACTGTTTTTGACTTACTTAGTGTCAAATGTCTATCCTATAATAGTGTAAGAAAGTAAAATGTAGGTTTCTTGACAATTCATAAATAATAATAAGATGAAATAAATTTTAATTGAAAAATTGTTCGAAAAGTATCAAGACTTCAACAGATTATCGTTTATCTTAAAAAGTATAACAAGTCTAAACAATTATACTATTCATATGTCGCAAATAATATGATTTATCTCAAGTTTTATGCAAATCTAAGAACATTATATTCTTTCAACCAAGGAGAGATTAATTATGAGAATTATTAAGATTTATTTACCATTATCTTTTGGCCGTAAAATTTTCAAATAATCTTTTTTCTTTCTAATCAAGCTATATTAAAACTTTGACATGCTATTGTAATACTTTCTTTCCATTATATCATGTGAGGCTTCGCAACTTGAGCCATTGCCATCTACTTGTACGGTTCCTCACTCTTAATTATGCCTGCCGCTAGAGTCAAGTGGCTTTTTATTACGCAATCGATCGATACTTCGATTTGCCAAATTTCAAAAAATATATTTATAGCATATTGATGATATACTTTTTTCATAGATTATCTCTCCTTTGTTTGCTCCCAATTTTTAAGTGATTGGGAATATAATAAATGAGTATAATAATAATAATAATAATAATAATCATAATAATAATAATAATAATAATAATAATCCATAGTATCAATAATAATAAAAAACTTGTACCAAAAAAATAATAATAAAATAAGTTAGTGAAATAATTCACTCTTAAATTTAAAAAAACTTCGTTTCCTCCAGAGCGTTTTCATGTCCGTCACATCATAATTAAGGAAAAGTTTTTCCAATTGTCCATCCTTTTAAGTAATTCTAGGTCATGATAATCGAAAAAGTTAGAGTGTCTTTTTTCTTTCTATTGGGTTTAATCAATCTTCATATTTGTTATTAGTGTTCTCATGTCTTCATATTTGTAAATTTGCTCAAATTTTCTACGGAAAATTGATCACTTTATTGTTATCATGAAAAATAGATATATAAGAATCCTTCTCTATATGATGAATGCGTTCACAATTAAAATCATATATTTCTTGAGTTTAGGCTTCTTGCATATATCTCCTATCTGTCATGCCTAAATTTTGGGGTATGATAGTCAAGGGGAGGAAAAAGTTCTATTGAGGTATACTAATTCAACTATGTTAGATATTGTTATACTCCAAAAGTAGAGAGTGACTGGCACAAAGTATGAACCATATCGTACATCCCCTAAGCTTTAAATTGAGAAATTTTTCATTTCTAAAACATGTCTAGATTTATATTGAAATTTTGATGCCCTTGATAATATTCATTATAACAGAGGCTTTAATATTTTTTTGTAGAGATTAAGACAAAATCTCCCATATAAGTCAGATCTCTCAAAATTTTTACAATACAAAATTTCAAAACAAGTATCATATCAATTAAGAGCTAAGTTCCTTTCAGTCAGTAGACAAAATATATAAATAGAATCTATTTATAGACTATGTGGAGCACTAAGAGATAAATTTACAAATAAAATTTCATAATTCAAGCTTTACATCAAAAGAAAGCTTCATTTTTAGCTCCTCCAATTTTGGTCAGTAATAAATCCCTTAATATTCAAAAGGAGGTTCAGCATCGGCTATATTATTTGAGAACAAATTATTTTAAATGAACAATATCCCAATAATAAAATCAAAAGAATATAAGTGGCTACATTCAGATAATTATAAACAAATTAAAAGGAGCCACTAAATTTGAGGATTTAAATATCCTAATAACTTCACAAATACTGAATTGTTAAATTCTATCACGTCCCAAAACAACAAGTGTGACTATCATGAGATATGTGTACAAAACTTATATCCCTTAAACCTTATTGAAGAAACCTCTAAATTAATACTTTGAACACATTAATAGCATGATTAAAAATTCTTACAACACTTTTTATATAAACTATGGATCACAAATTTTCTAATGAAATTTCGGCAAAACCTCCACTAAAAATAGGACTCTTGAAATTTCTACAACAGCAATTTACAATATCAAATCAGATACATAATTTTAAACAAAAGACGATAACCTACCTATAGCATATGTGGAGCATCTAGGATTATACTCTACAAAAATTCAAAGTTTAGTTGATATTTGTTTAAAAAAATTCTTCTACCTCAATTCAACAATGAAACTCCTCAATGAACATTTGGAGATACAGGTTTGGCTACACCGTTTAAGGCCAATATATATATTTTTTAGTAAAAAACGTCTCAAATTATAATTAAAGGAAATAAAAGAAGGAAATACAAATGAAATGAGTATGAATTTAACAAAAATAGTCACTTACTGAAGCAAAGTGCATACTTCAAATAAAAATAATTTCATTTAAACATTTGATCTAAAAACATCCTCATGATAATAACATAACAATCAAATTCCACTTTTAAACTATCAAACTTGTATCAATTAGCATTGCTCATTATAATAAATTAGTTCATTCATTATAAATAAATTAGTTCATAAAACTGGCTAGTTTAATAGGATTATTTTAAAAGCAATAATTTCAAAAAAAATTAACAGGACTTTATTAGAATGGATAACAAGCATGGATATACAATCCACGAGGGTAACTAATTAATCAAAGGTTGTTAGAAGCCACGAAACAAGCGTGAGTACAATACTCATGAATATCCGTCCCTCTGTTCCATGTGCATTAGCCTGCGCACGGGCTAGCACCTCTTACAAACACCTTACTAGCTAGGTATATCATGGCACGCCAAGAGCTAATGGAACTGCCATTAGCAATCAGTATTCTGATTTGGTCCCACACTTTAAATCAAGCATACATGAGTCATAATAATAAATTATTCCCTAAACCATAAAATCAAACATTGCCAATATATTAAATAATGGTAAACACTCAATTGTAAAAATTCTAACTCTTTTTATAAAACTTTGTGCAATAAAAACATTTTTATTCATAATAGTTGATAATGAAATTTAAAATATAACTATATAAATAGTCATAAATGTACTTAAATATTATTGTGAAAAAAAAAATTGTTAAGAAGTCATTTAGGACTCTATTTACTTACTTGATATATTCCCACATATTACAACTTACTTCAAATAGGTTGCTTTCCTAAAACTTTCACTCTAAGATTCCCTAATACTCAAAGCAACACTATTAACATTTTCACTCCACAACTTTGTAAAAGCATACAAATACTTTTTGTTTAATGAGATTCTACCGTCACCATCATTTAGAAAGATATTCCTTAACATTAATCTTTTTGTATATAAGATGACACCATGAGTCTAATACACCATTTGCCCTAACACATGTATATATAAAACATCTATTCTTTTCAAGTACCACCACACAACCAAATAACTCCATCATTGCACCTTACTACAAGTTGTCGTTAACTAAATGAATCCCGATTAAGTATATTTGCAAATTATTAGGAAAGAAAAATGTTGGTTCACTTCTTTAATATAACACAATCACAATAGAAAACAATTTTTATTTTATTTTATTTTATTTAAATCAATCTAATCTTAGAAAGAACATAGCATGAGCTTCAATGCAAGAATATAGACCATATTATCTTAGCATCCTCCTCAAACAAACCAAACATAAAAGATTTCATCCTCCCCTTATATACATACTTCTAACGTCAATAATTAGTCCGTTCATCTTGCCACACTATCCCTATATATATATATATAGATATCTCTCTCTCTCTCTCTCCAAACAACATTTATGCTTGGATATAAATATAAAGTTTGAACAATCATAATCCTATCAATTTCCTCTTTGAACATTTTATTAAACACTTTGATGGCATCCATACCTAACTAAAATATCAAGCTTCTTTTCCTTCAATTTTCCTTTTCAAAATTTTTTATCATCAATATTTAAACTATCCATACTTTCCAATCTCATTCCTTCTACACAAGCCATTTAAGCTCAAAAAATTAAATTTAATCATTTCCATTTACAATAATCCAACACATATATTGGTGAAGTTATCTACCAACAATATGATCTTAAATTCAAGTTTTGGCTTTATTGAATCCCAGCTACTCCCTCACGCATAACAACAAACCAAAAATAAACAGTCACATCTTCAGCCATTAATCTCTTGTGCACAAATAAATAGACTAAATGAGGGGAAAGAGGAGGTGAGATCTACTCACCAGCAAAGCAACGAAGAAGAAAGAAAAATTTGATGCTTCCCACAGCTACACACACCCGAAGGTGGCACTTGAACAAGGAAGAAGAGCGACGTCACGGGGAAAGTGGAAGGACGAACAGATCGAACATTTTGCACCCATAAACCAACTCCCACAACACAAAATAGAAGGATATGCTACACCACTCTAACAAAGGAGAAGAAAGAACGGTCGGTTACGCAAATCAGAGGAAAGAGCGGCGTGAATAGAGCAGGAAAAATAGAGAATACAGCGACCCAACCCCACTGTAGCCGACAAACGTGGACGGAGAGAAGAGAGGCAACTGCCATGGGAGGAGGAAAGTGTGACTGGGAAGAGGAGAAGAGCAGTGAAGAACAATCGGGAACTTCCTCCTCTGTGCTCTGCGTAATTGGCCGAATGGGAGGGAAGAAGAAAATATAATTATAAAGCTTGTGGGAATATTACGGAAAAAGACCCCACAGATTTTATTATTATTATTATTATACTGACTAAAACTATTAAAATTTCAAATATATAAGTTAATTAAAATTTAGAATTTCAAGGACTTAACAGAATGGGTAACAAACATAGATATACAGTCCACAAGAATAAAATAATCAAACACAGCCTAAGTCACGAAAATAGATATGGACACACAGTCCATGAGGGTAAATAACCAAACGTAGTTGAAATCACGAAACAAACATGGACACACAGTCTACGAAGGTAATTAATCAGATGTGGTTGAAGTCATGAAATAGACGCAAGTATAAGAACCGCGAATAACAAACGTGAAAACAAAACTCATAAAAATTAAACTAGCTGGTCATTGACTATGACACGCCAAGAGCTAACTAAACTGCATTTAGCAAACAGTGTTTTGTATAAAGTCCTCTAAAAATTGCTTTTCAAACATGCGAGAATAATCATTTTTAACATACAATTTGCATTCTCAATATTAAACTCGCATGAATTATTTCAAACTTTAATTCAACACTCGTCAAAATATAATCTTATAATAACGTTCATTCTTACATTTATTTGTGACCAAATTTTTTTTTAATTGGTCAAAATAATTTCATCAATCTTAAAAATATAACCCAGAAGGAAAATAGATGTACCTATCATATCTCAATTATTCCTTACCGAAATTGAATATATAATTTCACAAGATAAACTAATTTAATTAACAAATGCCCAATATTTAACATAATCAATAATAATAATAATAATAATTAAAAATAATCTACATAAAATGTAATGTTTTAGTAAAAGAGATTGTATTATTAAATTAGCAGGTATGCTATTCACTTAATAATAATTAGATATTAAGTTTTTAACATTATAAATTGAATAATTAATCATGTTAATTTTTAACATTAATGTATAATAAAAATTATAAATCTTTATCACATTTTTTAAAATTACAAATTAAAAAAGTATAAATAATTAGATATCAAGTTTTTAGCATTATAGATCAAATTTTATGTTATTTAAAATATTTATTATATTTTCTAAATATTTCAACTATATTATATTTGTATAATAAAAATTACAAATCATTATAAATTAATGTCTTTTTTAATAATTGTACATTCGATAGAACATTTTTCTATCATAATCCAAACAACTTGCAGTTTACTAAATTGACTTTTGAAAAAATATATCCAAACATAAATTTTATTACAACAATTGATTTTCACTAAACTAACTTTTGCCAATTGAACTTTTAGTAAATGAAATTTTAGCAAAATAAAAAACAAACACACACTAGTTCTATCCCAATTGAGATGAAGATAGGATGAGATCGAGAAATCCTAACAAAAGAGGGAGTGTGAAAATAAAAGGATAAGAAAGTAATAACTAATTAACTATTTCCTTTAACAATATTCAAATTTTCAAATCCTCAGTAATCAAGCATACTTTTTCACCTTTATCCAATAAAAATTCATTTATTTTAAAATATCATCATTCAACAATCTCCTCATAATATAAAATAATGATAATTCTTGTAAATCTAACATAAAATATATTATCTTGTAAACTTAAAAATCAATATATTACCTGCTTAAATTACAAGTTGAAATACACTTGATAGAACTAATAATAACAAGCATGAATCTTACAAAACAAAGAAAATAAGTTAATTATCAAATTACAACAGACAAAAAGCATAACTTAAGTTCAATACAATATTTATATAAAACATTACATAACTTCTTTATGTTCAAAACAACACAAATAAACAATCATAAATAACAAATAATAAAATAATTTTATTATCTATAAAATAGAATTATATATATATAGATAGATATGGGACAAGACAAGACATCTCGATACTCATCTTGTGTTACATCCCATCCTAACACCATTTTTTGTCCCAATCTTATTAGACCCATCTTATTTTTTCCATGTCAAAAACAACCCATCCAGGCATGATTGGGATAGAGATGGTCCAAATTAAGCAGCCCCACAGTGAGGCCGATTGGGCTTAGAGAACCCAAGTACTCGCCGTTTGGATCTGGCAGGCTTGATCGGCAATGGACAGGTGTTTGTGCTCCGGCGGTGGACCCAATGTTGAAGAACTTGGAGGGAGAGGAGGATCCGAACTTGATGGAACAGAGGATGAAAAAGAGAGAGTTAATTCAAGGTAAGCCACTTAGTGCAGCTGAGAGGAAGGTACTGGTTTTGAAGTGCGAAAGGAGCAAAACTAAGAGGCAAATCAACTTGGGTAAGTGCTGGTCTTGGTTTTTTCCCTTTTGGCGTTCTTGGTTTTGTTATAGTTTTTGAAGGTAATGTGATTGCTATAGTGTGGATTATAGTTTCTGTTTGGTGACAAGTCGGGAGTTCTTCACATTGCTGAGCAACAGATCATAAATTGAATTTCATTTTTGTATTATAAACTAGAAATTCTAGTGGGGTTAAGTATGAAGCTTTAGTTATGTGCCCTTAAAATTGTGGGTCTGTAGTTCCTTGATCAGAAATGAACAAGTCTAATGGTAGATTAAAACTAAGCCATATTATTAATAAAAAAGATAAACGGGGAAGGGGAAGAGAGAGAGAGAGAGAGAGAGAATTTATATGTTTTTCTTTTTTTAGTGCACAGGTGTCCTTCTGTTAAAAACAATTCTATCTCAGACGAGGTCGGATATTAAATAATAATAAATATGGATGTCTCGTCCAATGGGAATTTGAACTATGTTTAATTGCCCATTTTTTCCTTGTTAGTAGAATGTTACGGGAGACAAAATTTAAATAATTTTTTTTTTGGCCAAAAGACAATAGCTAAATAAATTAAACAACACTTTGAACTCTATTTTGCGCTCTTTTATCTCTTTCTCTGTCAGTTCAATAACCTCTGCACGTGCTTTTGTTTCTTTTTGGGTTGCAGGGAGGGATGGTTTAACTCACAATATGTTGAACGATATTCATAATCATTGGAAGCATGCAGAAGCAGTTAGGATTAAATGTATGGGTGTACCTACTGTGGACATGAAAAATGTTTGCGCCCAGCTGGATGTATACGTCTCTTTAAAGAAATTTGTATTCTTGTTCTAGTAATGTTGCATGTGGAATTTTTTAATTCTGATGAAGGTTGAAATTGAAATTGAATATATCCTCTTCTGTTCAGCTTGAAGCTTCTATGATGCTTTGTTGTTTCTGACTTCTGAGGGATTATTATATTCCCGGGCTTTTATTTTGGTGGCAGAAGTGTATGTTAGATACTGTTCAGTAAGTAAATTATTTTGATTCACACGTGAATAATTTAGTTTCTTCAAACATGATAGGATAAAGCAATTTCAATTTACTCTCTCATTTTATGATTATGATTAAGATTTATAAATTTAGTATTGAATTATCATATTTGCAATCATTTTATATAATTGTTTGCGTTTATTATTTTTACTCTTTTAAACTCTATTTTTTGGGAATGTTATTCACTGAAAAAATGTTTTGGTCTCAAATTCATTAGCTAATGCTAAATCTCCTGTGAATTATTGAAAGGTCTATCACTGGTTGGGAGATGGAGAATGCGGTAGGTTTTGATGTAAAATTTGAATTATAAAATTTTATTTTGTAAATTAAATTTTAGGTGCTCCACATATGCTATAACTAGGATTTTTATTTTAATATATATATATATATATATATATTCATCTACTGGCTGGAATGAGCTAAGCTCGTGGTTGACTGATATTTGATTAAAAATTTGTATTATAAAATTTTAGAAAATCTTATGTACATGATAGATTTTGTCAGAATTTTCACACACAAAAAAAAAAATTAAGGCATCATTTTAAATGACAAGTATTTTTAAAATAAAAAATTTCTTGAATTAAGTTTAAGAGATATGTGCTTAGATACATATCCTGTGCCAATCACTCCTGTTTCTTAAGACATGACAAATATTTTTGTATATTTTTTTCAGAGTTCCTATAAAATATTCAAGGCAGCACATGCCTTTTGAAACCAAGCAAAGCTTCATATGATTGCGCGCTCTCTCTCTCTCTCTCTCTCTCAACATACCATCTAACATGTGAAATCACCTAATTTGTGTTTGAACCCACGCAATGGTGTCTTGAAAAAGAAATTGGCATGTAGGAACACTCCCTGGTTTGACTTTTAGCATTTGGAAGGCCACATGTTTTGGATTCCACTGTGACGTGTCTCTATGACATGCGCTTACGGCTTTCCCTCTACTCCCATCAGCCCCCTTTCAACGACACCGTATAGGCAACTATGTTCTCTATTTTGTGACAGTAAACACAGCATACACATAATTAAGCCTGCCACTTTGGCCTATCTCACCTTCACTCCCTGAGTTATTGTGTACTCTTGCTTCTTTGTTTCCTTCTTCCCCTCCATAGACCAAGCTTCCACATTTTTCCCAAGCTTGGAAGTTATAAAATTAGCCATGGATTCCAATGAAGTGGCACAATACTTCTCCTCTCCTTTAATCCCTGACTCTTTACAAAGTTGAATTGTATTATTCATAACCTCAGCTTTTACTGACCCAGGCTTCACAGCAAATTTGTTTAATATCTCAGCCATCTATTAGTAAAGAATCACAGAGACATAAATTATCTGTTTTTCCCATCTTAATTTCATAACAGGATTAAAGATTATTTTTCTTTTTAAACTTTTTTGTTGAGGAAGGCTGAGCATTCTATACTGAATTGTGAGACAATGTTTCTTCTAAATAATTTTTAGGAGGAAAATTGCCTCTTTGCAGAGACCCATCATCTCCGTTATTCGCTAACGTGGAATAGTGGTGAGACTCGTGTAGTAACAGAAAAGTGTTCCACCTCATTTTGCCACCGTTTAACTACTAAAATCATCAAGCCCATTCTTACTATTACCATTGTCATTTCTAACCCCTTTAGCTCATATCAGTTGCTTAAAATGAGTCAAAATGCTTTATTGTTACTGTGCGTGTGCCTCATAACTATTCCTCATCAGCAACTAATGGAGAAGATTATGGGTCTTTGACAGAAGAATGATTTTGCTCCTGATGAAAAAAATTGTTTAAGGGAGATATTGTCTTTCAATACAAAGTATCTAACACTTCTAAAAAAAAAGTTTATGGGAGAAAATGGTATTTAAAGTAACTCTTCATAATATCAGTGTTCACAAACATGGTAGAATGAGTCTAACGCTATCTACCTTGCTTGAGGAAAAGGGAATGGATTTCACGACTTCACGAGGTAGGAAGGATGCTTAGTTGGAAGCATGCATGAAGAGAAAGTTCATTCTGTGACCAGCCTTTAAATCCTTTTCCAAGAAGAAGAGAATTGTGTTGGGGTTCCTATGGAGTTTGGTATCATTAGAGTCAGCATAACAAAAGTCAATTGGGCAAGTTTGTACTTGACCGCCGTGGACAGTGATGCTATCACCTGACCTAGCATTGACTGTACATGAAAACAAAGGGAGTATATTTGTCATTCATATTGAAATCAGCTAATTTGTGTTCGAATCCACGCAATGGTGTCTTGGGAAAGAAAGTGGCATATGGGAACAATTCGTGGTTTGACTTTTAGCATTTAGAAGGCCGAATGTTTTGGATTCCACTGTGACATGTCTCTATGACATACACTTACAGCTTTCACTTTTGTACTCCCATCAGCCCCCTTCAACGGCACCGTATAGGCGACTGTATTAGTGTATTCTCTATTTTGTGATAGCAAAACACAGCATGCACATAACTAAGCTTGTGGCACACTGGCACTTTAGTCATGCCTCCAAAATAGAAGGAGATCGATACAAGATAAGAATCACATCACACATTCTTCAACTCTTCATTCAAGAAATCTTTGTGTGAATAAAACATAATTATATTTAAATTAATTTATAACATGCACAATCATTTTTACATTAATAAAATCTTTAATATTTTTGTAGAAAATTTCAATAAAACTTTTTTTGTAAATAGGATCTTTCAAATACTTTACAACACAATGTTTTATACAAGAAATCATTTTAATCAAGAGCTCAGCTCTATCCACCCATCAGACAGAATATTTAACAAAATATGGACCCTAACTTTAATCTATGTGGAGCATCTAATCATATTTTTTATGACATAATACATAAATTTTATATTTACATTAATAGGAACAATTTACACAATAGATCTCCACTTATCTCAGCAAAAAGTCTCTCAGTGGATGGCATGACATACAGCGTCAACTATGCTATCTGAGATCAAAATAACTTTTCAATGAATAACGTCTTAACCATAACATTTTGTAGAATCAAAATGAATAATTTTGCAATAGCTATGGAAATTAAAGAGAAAACGATCCAATATAAAAAGATTTGTAAACATGGAATAAAAATTTCTATACAACTTCAATAGCATGGACCTTTAGATCTTCATAACAAAGTAACTTTAACATATAAGCTTGATAAAACAAATAGATTAAATAAATAAATAGATAACATTTACAATTTAAAAGAAAAATCATTAAAATATGAAACCATCACTTAATTAAAAATTTGTATTTTTGGGGATTTATCAGAACAATTTATAAATGTGGACACATAGTCTACGAGGGTAAATAACTAAACGCGACTTATGTCACAAAGACAAACATGAACACACAGTTCACGAGACTAATACTAACCAAATGCGGCTCAAAGCCATGAAAATAAATGCAAGTATAAGACCCACAAGTAACAAAATGTTAGAACAGAGCTTACGAAAATCAAACTAGCTAATAATTGACAATGGCGCATCAAAGGCTAACAGAACTACCGTTAGCAAATACTGTTTTATATAAAATTCCCTTCAAATATATTTTTAAACATACGAGAAAATTATCACTATAAAAATAGAGTTCCCATTCTCAAAGTCAAACTCGCATGAATAATTTTAAATATCAAGATTTATCAGAATAAAATTTAATAACTAATGTTTGTGCTTGCATTTATTGAAAACCAAAATTTTTAGGGCTGATAAAAATAATTTCACTAGGTAAAGTATTTAAATAACAAATTATCCAATACTTAACGTGGTATTTATTAAAATAATCTACATAAAAATATAATGTTTCAAAAAAATAATTTTATAAGTAAATCAGTTAGGACGCTATTCACTTACTTGGTACGCTCCCAAATACACATAACTTCTAATTAGCCTTCTGGCAAACATGTTTTGTTCTTAAATCCCTAGTGTCCACATAACACTGTTGTCATTTTCTGTCATCTATGTATATATAATTTATAATCCAAAGTCATTCATTTAGGAAAATAGAAAAGGAAGAATCTTAACTTCAAAGCCTTTTTAGCATTGCATCAAATTCTCTATAGAGGTATTCCTACGATTTTCATAATAAAAACAAGCACCTTTGGTCCTCAAATTAATAACCAATAATTTAATCAAAAATGGGATAATTATTACATGCAATTTCTACCATAACTCAAAATTTCCTCTTTCAAACATTTTGGCAAACACCCTACAAATATAAATCTCCAAATTAAAATTCTAAGCTCCTTTTTCTTCAAATCTCCTCCCAAAAATTCCAATGTTCATATTTGAGTTTAACCAACTCCCCAATTCCAGTCCTTATATAATAATAAATCTAAATATAAAAAGAATATCATCTGAGCACGTTTTCCTGTTACATCAATCAAAATGTTTAAGACATAATTATCTACCTAAACTTCTATCAAGCTAAGTTCCTTCCTTCCAAACATCCTATTCAATATGAAAGAAAATTTAATAGGCTTTCTTCAAGTCCAATAAATTTCCTTCCAACACTGGTATTGCTATAATTACAATCAAGAATTTAAGGTTTCGTACCACCATGATTTGGATATCATAGTTTCACCATATAACTTTAGCTATAGTTAATTATTCAATCAAAACACAACCTCATCTTAGACCCTTTTATCAATAATTAGTGTGCATATCAATTCCAACCCCAAAATAACACTCTTTAAAATTTAGATCTCATGTCCAAAAATTGCCCAACAATCATACAATTCTTATAAATTTACTTAGTTACAAACTAGCTATCACACCTCAATATTAAAGGCATAACCGACATAAAATATGAGATGAACTCACATTTTATTAGCCTTAATTAGCCCGAAATTAAGCTAAAATATCAATATATAAGTTATATACAATCATAAAGTTTGTGAAGTTTTAAATATTTTGTAGAAATTTTGACAAAGTCTCCGTTATAGTCTAGGCCTCCTGAAATTTCTATAATAATAAAACTTGTTAATCAAATTAGCAAGGAGACTAGCTCCATAATAGTAATCTACATACTGAAAAAATAAAAATATGACATAACTATGGTGTATGTAGAGCTCTAATTTATGATTACAAAATATAATACATAATTTTATCAAAAAGGATAACAACAATGCGTTTTTGCTTTCCAAAAAATAATAGGGCTCCTCAATAATTCGCATGAGGAGTAGGGTTAGTTATAATATTTGAGATCAAAAAAAATTTTAGTGAGTAACATCCCAATTTATAGTTGAAGAAATTAATATAAAGCAAATCAATAAGTCAAACATCAACGACTAGATAAATATATAAACCATGAATATATAATTTCAAATAAAATTATAAGAAGTTCAATTTTTCTTTTCTTCTTTCAAATGTTTATACATATTTAGACATCTTGGAGATATATGTATATATATACTGCTCAATATAATATCAATATATAGTAAAAAGAGAAGTTTGCTTTTCAAAATCAAATTTTAAAAAATAAGTTTCAAAACTCCTTTAGAGGGACTTAATTAGAACGATTAACAAGCATAGACACATAATTCAATAGGGTAAATAACCAATAAGCATGGTTGTAAGCCATGAAATAATCAAGTGTGGCTAGAAGTCATGAAACAAGCATAGGCACAAAACCCAAAAAACAAGCATGAGTACGATGCTTATGAATATCCATCCCTCCATTCTACATGTGTTGGCCTACGCACGGGGCTAGTACTTCCTATAAGCACCCTGCTAGTTAGGTGTATTATAGCGCACTAAGGGCTAACGAAACTGTCATTAACAACTAATATTTTAAAATCAATCCCCCAATTTAAAACAAGCATGCATGGATTATAAAAATACACATTTTTTTCTCTTTTCAATATAATTATTATAAAATAGTATCTTCAATGCTTTCTTATACATGAATCATAATAAATAATCATTTTCTAGCTCTAAGATCAATCATTATTAACATAATAAATACTTGTGAACATTCATTCAAAAGTTTAATTTCAATTCTTTTCATAAAATTTAATAGAATGCTAGAATTTTCAACTATAGTAGTTGATAACAAGATTAAATCATAACATTAAATATGTATATTAAATATGAATATGTCTAATCAAAATTTCAAGGAAAGAAAAGTGCTAGCATTTATTAAAAAACCAAAATTACCAAAGCTAACAAAAATAAATTCACAAGATAAAGAAATTTAAATTACAAAACATCTCATACTTAACAAAGTTGTTATTAAAATAATCTACAAAAATATATATCTTAGAAAAGTAATTTTATGAATAAATTAGTTGGGACGTACTCACGCACCTAAGATTTTCAAGAATTCTGAAGCCTCCCTCTCTTAACTTTGCACTTTAATTTTAATAATATCCTTAATTTTCTGACAAATAAATTGTAATCTAAAAATCATTTATCAAATAATTTAATTTAAACTTTCTCTCTCTCTTTTCTTCTTCTTCTTGTGTTGTATTATTATTATTATTATTATTATTATTATTATTTATTTATTTATTTATTTATTTATTTTTTAAACAATTAGTGAGCATTTAAATTCAATCCAAACAATATTTAAAGAATATACTCTAATCCATCATGTTCCAAGTATACTTAATTTAGTTAAACCATTCAACAAATCTTAATTTATCCTCATACTTTCTTGTGACCTATTCTTACTCATAAATCATAATACACCATGTCAACCATTGTTATGCTTCCTTTAGACTTAATAAAATATAATACAAACATCTTATGTAATCCTTTCTCCCACTTGATATTTTAAATTTTCAATTGGTAATTTGAGCCAAAACTTACATATACTCTTCCAACTTATAACATGAAAACTTAACAATACTTAATTTATCAAATTTTCTTTTTACACATTTTTACAAATATATTGAGGGCATGTACTTACTATTGATCAATTTATGAGATAAGCAACCATGCAATTCAACAACTTTTGTTAATTCCATGTCCAAATTTAGTTTAGCATCACAGTGTAATAATATCCAGCATTAACTGACATATTAACCTCAACTCTTGCTAGAATCTATATATCATATAAATCTCAACGACTATAAGCTGTCTAAAGAGAGGCTCATGAACGGCTCCACTCTTAAATTACTGTTCAATTGAATAGTATCAACTTGCATTGGGCTTTGTACTGCCTCATCCTAATAAAAAAGTTCTCTCTTCTTTCATTCTTTAAAAAAAGCGGATGATGATGATAGCCTCGAGCTTCGTGTATGCCTATCTACTCTACTCTCTTGTTTAATCACATAGCATATGCAGACGTTATTTATTTAATTAGTCACGCATTTGCAGGGATTAGTTGTATTATTTCTGGGTAGAGGTAGCTTTGAGTGAAATAGCAGGAAATCTTGAGAGCACAGATATTGATTGCACAAATCTCGGTTGCTCCAAAGGTTGCTCTTTTGAAATCAATTTCCATTGCACTCGGGCCCTTGCTTTCATTCTCAGGACAACACAAATCTCTCTTTCTCCCTTATGATCATCTGTTCTGGCTTTAACCGCCTTCGTCCACTGTCGTTGGTGCTTGTGATTGGACCCTTAAACTGGACGAGCAAGTTTGCTCTCTATTCTTCAGGTAGACTTCCACTATTCCTAGTTTCTCTAAGCAATTTCCCTTCTTTCTTTGTGGTTTTATTTGTTCCTTTCTTATCCCAATCCCTCCTTTGGTTTAGGGAGAGAGATTTCGGTCCCAAGTCCTTGTCCGTGTAATCCAGCTGCTTCTTAACGAAGGCGGTACATGGAGACCTAGGTTTGAGACTGTTTCAAAGCCCAAATTGGATTTCTTTGCTTCGATCCTCCTCCTAAATAGAAAAGCTTCGATCTAATGCTTGAGAAGTTGAGAAACTCATGGGTATGGTATTTATTCCATAGCCATCGGGCTTTTGCTTGTCGTGTTCTCGTGGGTAACCCCTTGACTCAAATTGACACGGTGTTCGTCACTGCTTGGAGGAAAAGGGCATTTACAGCTGCCCTTTAATTCATTGTCGATCTTCAACAGTAGGGAAGAAGAAGAGGTGAGTTTATCCTGAACATTAGTGATTTTCTTTTTTTCCCCTTGGTCTTGACCCTTTTTCTTTGATTCGTCATTAACCACACTTCTGCTTCATAAAATCATTGTCTTCTCGGCAATTTTGATTTCTCGTGTCTTGCATCCATTAATCCTACTAACAGTAAATGCATATAATTATTGCACATATTCATGAGTCTAATATATAAGATCCTACTTGATCTTTTTCTAGCTTTTCTCCCTTTTTACTAGAATCTTTATTGGCTTTAGCTTTTGTTGTGGGGGAGAAGCAGATAGTTCAGGCAGGAACAAATTGCTTCTCGGGTCTCTAATTTTATGATTTAACCCATGCATGTATTGCAAGTCTAAATCTAATTTCCCAATTATGTAGCAGTTTTCTCCCTGTGTTGATGATGCTACCGGTTCTAATTGTTGATGTGTTAAAATGTCAAGTATATGAATGTGATCAAAGCTAGCTATTTGTTATTTCTACTTTTAACTTTAACCCAATATATGCTTTTTCCAAATTGTATTCCTATTTACTCAATATGTAAACACATAGGCACGTTGATTTCCTTTCAATTTGAATAGATGATGAATTTATCTATATGTTAAACTTCATATTCGTGATAAGAAAGGGGTGAGAAAATCTCATGTAAGGAGGCTATGAAGAGCTCAGGTAACAAGGGGTGAGAAACTTCATATGGAAGTGTTTTCCTTGTGAGAGATTTTATGTCTAACTAATTGTATTCTGAAAGTTTATTTTCTGTGAGAATTGTTTAATATAATATTGTAATTCCTTGCTCAAATACTAAAGAGTTAATTTGCAAGGGTTGGTTCATTAGCAACCTCCCAAAGCAAGCATTATACATGGTGAAAGACCTTACCATTTTTAAACATGTTCATCATTTTGGCTAACCTGCTAGCTTCCTCTACATCCCTTTTGTTCTTTTTCTCATAGGTGTGTTGTGATTATTTCACCATTAAATTACAATCTGAATAATGCTTGAAGTTTGTGGCTTCTATATCTTATTTTTCCACTGATAATACTGTCAACCATTTAGTGACTTACCTCCTTGAGATCCTTTTTTGTTTATTTACATTATATTTGCAATCGTCGCTCCTTGTTTCATATTTGGAAGCTATGATCAAAATATTCACAGCTTGCTCAAAAAGAACGATATCAAAGTTTGATAAACTTCTTGAAGTAGCAGAGAGCAATAATGAATAGAAGTCAATTGAATTTTTCAACATAGGATATGGAATATTATGAGTTCTTGAAAGAGCTTGATGAGGAACTTCTACAATTTGATGACGATGTTGAAGTAAGTGTGCAACATAGTTCCTATTTTATGTATCATTATCTGCTTGACCTATGAATTGTAATGCATATAGGCCTATGACATATTATTTAAAGTGATTACATCTTAGTAGAAATTCCTTATTATATGATTGTTGTTTAATGTTTTATGGTTTTTTATTATTCCCTACCTATGTTAGAGAAGCTAAGCTTCTCATCCTGTGGTCATTTATTAGAATGGCAATAATGCAGACATAATCTTAGATATATGAGCACCAACAACATCAAGAATAAAGCTTGCTGTGAGGGTGAGGGAAAAGTTGGTTGTGGTTATTTTGAAAACTAAAATAGTAAACAGCTTGATGGCATTTTCTTCTATTTTCTTAGTTTCACTAGTTCCTTTTCAATATTTGCTCTTATGGAGTTAGGATGGCCTAATAGTATGCCTTCCCTTTGACACATGATTTATTTGATTATGCAAGGGATGTATGCTCTGAAAAAAGATTGTCTTCTACACTAGGAAAATAAAAAGGGTCTGGCAATTTAGTCTTAGAATCTACATTATATGAGAACGAGATTAATTTTATTGCATATTGTAGTGTTTAATGAGTTTGATGACGAGTTCTTGTGTGTATATGGTAAACTAATTGAATTTTTTATTTACATTATAGATGTAATAAAACTTCAAATTTATCATGCAAGAATGATTGAGTTTGTGAAAACTGTGGCAACAATGGTTACACATTGCTAAGAGATGTACATATTGGAATACTTAGCAGCAGGGTAAGTTGCCCATTTTCTATAGTAATATAATTCTTCTTTGTCTGGTATACTTTTGTGATGGTTTATGCAGTTTCTATAGGCTCTTTTCCTTGCACAAGGTTCTGATGAATATCACCATTATCTTCGTGATGGTTTTAATGATTCGATAATTTCAATCCTGCTATCTTCTAAGGATTTTAGCATGTTGAAATTGGATGTTTATCTACAGTAGATATTTATCCAAAGCGCACACTCCATTAGTCATTGTCATCATGTTTTAGATATTCAACTCTACATAGTCCCAATTGGGATGTTACATATTGCTGCCAAAGTAAATGATTGCAAGACCGTTTTTGTTTCAAAATTTTATATAAAATGAGGCATCAAGTTTGAGCATATGTACTTAAATGAATCACTCTCTCTCTTTCCATAATTTTGTTTTGTGTTCTTTTATTTAAGGATGAATGAAGCTAAAATTGCCGCCTTTAATTTCTCCTTGCATTTCTTTATTTTATTCTCTTGGTGTGGTTCTCCATCCATGTGCTTTGCTTAAGAGCTTTTAATGATTTTGAGGATGATTGTTGTGTAGGATTTCGGTTTAGTTCAAATCTTTTATTTTACAACAATATGACAGGTTTAATTTAAATGTATATTGGCATGGTAATTTGTTTGACATGGCTTTTTGGATATGACACTTTGTTTTCTATTATATAATATTGAGGTAGAACTTACCAGAAAATATTGATGTATCAAAATATGAAAATGGATCGTCTTCACTCAAGCTATCATGATTTCGGTGAAAGTGTATATAGTTATTTATAAAGTCCTAATCCTCTAACTTGGTGAATTTAGACAATTTTCTTAAAAGGATTTTCTAATTTGGTGATATTAGAAGAGTTAATAATATGGAAGCTCCTTCACTCATTTGCACTAAAGATGTATAAATCAAATATCAATACATAGCGTTTTAAGTAAGGGTGCAAAATAAGGGAAACATTAATTTCCATTTCAGAATTGAAGATGGGACTACTTCCAAATTGTTTTATATTATTCCACTTAGTTTACATAAGGGAAGGTGCTTTTTAAGTGGCAAAAGTGGCAGCATTCTTTTAGGGGTGCCATAGAACTATGATTTTGCTCCCTTTAATGGGTAGTGATTGTTCTTTGTTGGACTTGGGAAATGATATAATATGGCTTATGAACTAAATATTTTTCCATCCTTATGTTTTCATGTATTGCACAGTGCTATCATTTAGAAGGTACTCCTTCTATATAGCCCTGTCAAAGGATGAGATTTTTGCAATAATGGAGTTTGTTGTCAATCAATTTGATGTAAAACACAAACACTCACACTCACACTCACATTGATTTAAATAGAAAAGGAAAAGTGAGATGAAACAGAAACAAAGAGTGGTAGGGAGAGGGATGAGAACATGGAAGTGGGGAAAGAGACAAGGAAGGACAGAACAAAGGGAGGAAGAACTGAGAGGGGGAGGACACAGACTAGAGGGAGAGAGTTTTCAGAATATATCAAATAACTTCATTTATTTTTTTTTAATCCCCTTCTAAATACACAAGTCATGCTATTTATAAGTATGAGGTTTCCTTCCTAACAAGGAAATGCCCACTTGTGCGTACTACCTGAGAAGGAAACTTACAAAAGTTAAGTGAAAAGCAACAAAAACTAATAAACTAATGAAAAGCAATAAAGAACTACTAAATTATTTCCTCCTAAAGTAGTGTTTTCTATATTTTCTATCAATTCCCCCTGTTGTAAAGAACTCTCCTCCGAAGAGGTAGAGAGTTGATAGGCTTTTAGTAGGGCAGGATTAAGTTGTTGGAATTCATCTTCTAAAATCTAAGTGGCATCTTCATTAGATCGATCTTTCTAATGAACCAAATAACATCGAATGGGCCTCTCAAATATAAAGACTATTTGATCATCCATAATGGTCTCAATTTCATCAACTGATGGTGAGACAGCTGACAATGATGGAATTAGCACCTGTGGAGGCTGAGTACCTGTAAAATCATTAGAAAGCAAAGGGGGAGGTTCAAAAGTTTCCCAGTAAGACATAAGATCTTTCACATTAAAAATTAGACTTATGGCCATATTAGGAGGTAATTCTAAAAGATAAGCATTAGGTCCTAATTTCTTTGCTACGCGAAAAGGTCTTGAAGCTCGAGCATGCAACTTTTTAAAAGTGTGTTTAAGTTAACGTTTTGGACGAATTCAAGCCATAACATAATCACCTATATTGAAGCTTTGAAATCGGCGATGAGTATTGGTAGATAATTTATACTGATCGTTATTCTAATTTGTGCCTAATTTCAACATGCAATTCATGAAGTCGATTGGCAAAGGATTTCGCAAATTCAGAGATTTGACATGTCAACGGGATTGGTAGGAGGTCAATAGGTTGTTTAGGATTAAAACCTTGAACAATTTGAAAGGGACTCATGCTTGTAGACCTATTCATTGAATTATTACATGCAAACTCTGCAATGGGTAGAACCAAATCCCAGTTCTTCGACCTGTCTCCAATTAAACTTCGAAGTAAATTACCTAAACTACGATTAGTAACTTTAGTTTGCCATTAGTTTGGGGGTGAAAAGTAGAAGAGAACTTTAGTTGGGTGCCAAAAAGTTTCCATAAGGTCTTCTAAAAGTAGCTAACAAACTTAACATCCTTATCAGATACGATAGTAGTAGGTAACCCATGCAGATGCACAATCTCCTTAAAGAACAACTTTGCCAGATGTGAAGCATTTGTAGTGTTGCTACAAGGAATAAAGTGAGCCATCGTTGAAAACCTGTCCACAACAACTAATATAGAGTCATGGCCTCTAGCTGTGCAAGGAAATCTCAAGATAAAATCCATACTCAAGTCTTTCCAAGGTGCATCAGGAATCGGCAAAGGAGTATACCAACTAGTATTCTACCATCTGGCTTTATAAGTTTGACAATTTCGACATTGAGACACTATGCGAGCCATATCATGCTTGAATGAAGGCCAGTAGAACCTATCTTCGATCAATGCCATTGTCTTATTAACCTTGAAATGACCAGCTAAACCTCTAGCGTGTAACTCCCATATAAGAAAATCTCGGATAAAAGTATGTGGGATGCACAGCTTGCTTCCACAAGAGAGATGACTGTCTTTAAGGATGAAATCAACATGCTTATGACGGTTACCACTGTTAACTTTTTGGTATATTATCCTAAAATTTGGACATGAAGCATAGTCTTCTTTCAAGTTTTCAAAACCAACAACACTAACGCTCATAGTGCGCAACAAGTTGATCCGTCGGCTCAAGGCGTCGGCCATTGTATTTTCTGTTTCTCAACGATGCTTGACCACAAAAGTGAATCCTTGAATATACTCAACTCATTCAGCATGTTTAGCATTCAAGTGCCATTGAGAGTTGATAAACATAAGCACCTGATGATCAGAATAAAGAATAAATTGTTGCAGAAGAAGATAGTATTTCCAATGCTCAAGGGATCTCACAATTACAAAAAATTTCTTTTCATAAGTGGAGTACTTTTGTTTGGCATCATTGAGTTTTTCGCTAAAGAAAACCATAGGGTGACCTTCTTGGCTTAGTACACCTCTGATTCCTATCCCAGATGCATCACAAGCAACTTCGAAACACTTTGTAAAATCCTATAAAGACAAGATTGGAGCTTTAAAAAGCTTCTTCTAAATATCTTGAAAAGCCATATAAGCTATAGAAGTCCATTGGAACTTGACTTGTTTTAAGCAATCGGTGATATGAGCCATAATGGTACCGAATTTTCTAATGAAGCATCTGTAGAAAGAAGCAAGGCCATGAAAGCTTCGTACTTCATGTGGAGATTGTGGCTCAGATTCTTGAATGGCTTGGACTTTCTCAGGGTTAGTTGCTAAACCCTTTTCAGAAACTATAAAACCCAGGAAGATGACTTGATTTTGAAGAAATGAACACTTAGGCAAGTTAACATAAAACTGTTCTTGACGCAAGGTGAGAAAAATTAACTCAAGATGTTCCCAGTGTTCTTCTTTTGACTTGCTAAAAACTAGTATGTCATCAAAATATACCACAAAAAATTTTCTCAAGTATGAATGAAGGAGGTGAGTCATTACTCTCATGAATGTACTTGGGGCATTTGATAATCCTAAAGGCATGACAAGCCATTCAAACAACCCATCTTGCATTTTAAAAGCAGTCTTCCACTCATCTCCAGGTCTAATCCTGATCTAATGATAACCACTCCTGAGATCAATCTTTGAAACCAACTAAATCTAGACATTAAATTAAGTATGCCATCAAGTCTAGGAATGAGAAACCTATACTTGATGGTGATCTTGTTGATGGCTCTGTTTTCTACACATATTCTCCAAGAGTTGTCTTTCTTTAGGGTTAAAAGAGCAGGTATTGCACAAAGACTCATACTATGCTGGATATAACCCTTTTCCAACAATCCATTGATTTGTTGGTTAAGTTCTGCCCTATCATTAGGGTTCATCCTGTAGTGCGGTAGATTGGGGAGTTGTGAACCTGGAATGAAATCAATTGCATGTGGATATCTCTCATTGATTGTAATTCAGATGGAAGCTTACCTGGAGTGATATCCTAGAATTGTTGTAAGAGTTATTGCACCTCTTCTGGCATTTCTAAAGCAGTAGCATTTTGTTGTGAGATCTTGGATACCAAAATAAACACAATCGTACTTTCTCTGCTTTCTTATACAAATTGTTTTTCTGTCAGAAGATGCAAGTTGTGGGTTTTGGGTTTTGTGCCTTCTGATTTACTTGAGTATTTGCTTTTGTTGTCAGGCTTAGCAAGACATAAAGACATAACAGGATCGTCTTTGTAGTAGCCCATGAATTTAAATAAAGTAAAATATCATGATTAGATAATTTAAGAGTATTTTTATTAATTTTGGAGATGATTTTATTAAGTTATATTACTAGCTGAATGGAAATTTCCTTGGTATCTATCTTCATGTATTTGGTTCGAATCTATGCAATGTCAAGA